CAGAATTTTAAAAAAATTTCTTTCATGAACGGATAAAATTTGTGATATGGGAAAAAAATTTTTACCCCTAAAATGGTACTGACCGAAAATTTTTTGGCGACGGGGGGGAGGTCGCCAAAAATAATTTTCCGAAAAAAAATTTTCAGGTAAAATTCGAAAATTTGGTACTTTCAGGTAGATTTAACCAAACACCACCTCCCCCCTGAAGCGAGTTACTCATGACGGCACTGTATGTATTATAAGAAGTATTAAAACAAATCGCTTCGCTTTCAAATTTGTTTGTTTCAAAAATCAGAATTCAAATTGTTTTGATCAAGCGATCATTCCCTCATTTCCATCCCTCAGGAGTATAAAATTGTACTTTGAACTGGTTTTCAATACACAGACACAGTGTATTTTGAAATATTTTATACCGCAAGTTTTTTTGCCATAAGTATTTACGCCTAAACGTTAGCTTAAAAGATTTATTCTAAGGACTGATTCAGGCCGAATCAGCTGTTAGGATTTTAGGATAATGCAAATTATAAATACACTATAAAAGTTGTATCTTGTATTAAAAATTTCGACAAATCATCGCGTGTATTTATAATCATGTTTATAAAAACAATACAAATAGCACATTTAAAAACTTTCTTAGAAGAAAATCACACTATTACTGTTAATACTTCCATCAAAATAGCCGAAACTTACCTTGCTAAACCACAATTCCACTATAAATGCAAATAAAAATAACGCCTTGCGAAACGCCGAAACAGTTTCGAAAAACAACACGAGGTCGGCAAAGTGGCCAAAATCACTTACGAAAAATACCAAATTGCTCCTCTGTTTTGAAGGAATTTTTTTCCAAGTGGAAACGACTTATTTCAATCACCATCTAATCCAATCACTTCCCATTTAATTAAGCCATTTCACATTACGTCGAATCAATTCAAAACTAGTTGAATCACTTCACAACAACACGCGCCGAGACCGCACAAATTACGTCATTTCAAAATACATCAAATCATTTCACATCGCATCCAGTCGAGTCACATTATGTTGAATCGTTACACATTTAGTTGAATCAATTCACATTAAGTTGAATCGTTTCACGTTATATTGAATCGTTTCACATTAAGTTGAATCAATTCACATTATATTGAATCGTTTCACATTATATTGAATCGTTTCACATTATATTGAATCGTTTCACATTATATTGAATCGTTTCACATTGTGTTGAATCGTTTCACATTAAGTTGAATCAATTCACATTAAGTTGAATCAATTCACATTAAGTTGAATCAATTCACATTAAGTTGAATCAATTCACATTAAGTTGAATCAATTCACATTAAGTTGAATCAATTCACATTAAGTTGAATCAATTCACATTAAGTTGAATCAATTCACATTAAGTTGAATCGATTCACATTAAGGTGAATCGTTTCACATTAAGATGAATCAATTCACATTAAGTTGAATCGTTTCACATTATATTGAATCGTTTCACATTACGTCAAATCAATTCAAAACTAGTTGAATCACTTCACAACAACACGCGCCGAGACCGCACAAATTACGTTATTTCAAAATACATCAAATCACTTCACATAGCATCCAGTCGTTTCACATTAAGTTGAATCGTTGCACATTGTATTGAATCAATTCACATTATATTGAATCAATTCACATTATATTGAATCAATTCACAATAAGTTGAATCAATTCACATCAAGTTGAATCGTTTCACATTCAGTTGAAACAATTCACATTACGTTAAATCAATTCACATTAAGTTGAATCACTTCACATTAAGTTGAATCGTTTCACATTGTGTTGAATCAATTCACATTGTATTGAATCAATTCACATTATATTGAATTAATTCACATTAAGTTGAATCTGTTCACATTTAGTTGAATCGTTTCACATTTAGTTGAATCATTTCAAAACACGGTAAATGGTTTCAAAATAGCATGAATCATTTGTTCATGACTTGTTAAATCATTGCAAAACACGTTGAGCCATTTCACATTGTCTACACGAATTAACACAGCACTAATCGAATTAGAACACTGCGAGGTGAATCATTTCAAGTTTAGATGAATTGTTTCACATCTTGTCCAGTCACGTTACTACGTTATGTTCAATCATTTCTAAACACAATGAATCATTTGTGTTTATAATGAATCATTTCTGTTTATGTCCATTCATTTCACACATGTAGTATTTTTGGTGGTAACGGCCGCCCATACCAAGGACCTAAACGATTACGTAGAAGACAAAGACAACCTAAATTTGGGTTGCGCACTTCCGAACGGACGTGTGCAATCCAAAGAAAACCAGTATATCATTTGGCCGAAGATTTGCAAAAAAAACTGAAGAGAGAAAACGAGTAACAACACCAGAAAAAAGCAAAGATAATTGACAAAACAATGGTCGAAAGATTTGCGAAAACGATACCTAACCTGTACTCAAAGGAAAAACAAGCTAAATTTGCTGGTAAACTAACCGCAATAAAAAAATACCCGTATATAATAAAAAAAAAACAGTTTGATGGAATTAAAGGTATTGTAATGAACAAGGAGGGAACTGCATGTTAAAGGAAAGAGCGGAAGACTTGCGAGTAAAATGCTGAAGAGAAAACTAGCAGCAACAACAGAGAAAAGCAAAGACAATTGGGTCTCAAGTGGGATGCCTGTGTTTAAAGTTTCCGAGCGGTGGCTATTAAAGAAAAGCAAGAAAAGACAACGCCAAAACAAAACTAGGGATCCAAGGATAGTGTGAAGTTTCGAATTGAAAAAGACACTGCAAGAACTATATATGGTCGCCGACAACCTAGAAAAGCTGATGGCTTACACTACGAAATAAACAGTTACCAAAGTTAAGGCATTTCATCTCATTATTTATTGCTTTTAATACGCTCGGCACACGAGTAGCGTGACGTTTGAAACAACTAAAGCCTAACACACCAGAAACGTGACTTGTGAAACTGATGCAATTCATCTATTTATTGTGATGCTACACACAAATTTTGCATATTCTAAATTTTCATTTGCATTTGCAGCTGTCGCCAAAAGCTCCCCACGAGGCTACTGCTATGCTAAATTTATCTAAAACTATAATTGAAATAGCTGTGTAAGATATATTATGAATAATAAGCACTACGTCGTTACATCATTAAAAGGACGCATTTTATCCTCATCCGTTCCGTATTATATCCGTTCCGTGGATCCGCTCCATCCGCTTCCGCATTTTAACCTAATTGTGACATACTTCACAATAACAAGTTTCATTGACCTTTGACTTTTCCCAGTGTCACGTCTACTTTCAGCTTTTCGCATGTGTTGAATAATGTCACTTTAGATTTCAATAGTTTCACAGTTAAGCAGTGTTTAAAGCAATTTTGACAAGCTTTGAACAGTTCTGTGTACAGAATACTACAGATTGATTCTCGTAAGATCTGGTAGAGTTATCGTTGCACTGAACAAGAGTTTACACTGTTGACAACCGCGTTGTGCTAGACAGTAAACAAAGACAAGGCCCGTGACGGTACACGTTGGCTACATGTACCTCCTTTCTTTTTTTTCTATTGCATAAAGCTTGTTGGCGAGCCAAGCGATTGGCGATAATACGTTGGCGATAACGCATTGGCTATCTCCTCGTCTTTCTTATTTAAATAAAGAGCTCTGACTCAACTGATTTCTTTAGTCTCGCAAGTTATTTTCTTCGTAAACGCCGTACAAACGTTTACCCGCTTCTGTTTAATAGTTGTTTCGCTCTTTGTACTGAGCCTAGCCATATATTCTGTGATGTAGCACCTTATACAGTCAATGACAATGTATAATGAATACACGTTCTAAATAATATCGATGGACACTTAATTGAATACCGGTAATGCACAACATAATAGTATTATTGCGTAGAATCTCAAAGGACAAAGATTTTCTCAATATTCATGTCTGAAATGTTCATATACTTGAAAACAACACTGTCTCGCTTGTGCCTACGTATACTGTACCTCTGTATAACGAGTATGCCGTGAAAATAATATCGGCACTCAATTGAATGCCTATAATCTCAAAGATTTTCTCAATATTTACGTCTGAAATGTTTATACATTTGAAAACAACACTGTCGCTCCTTCCTAGCTCTGTATATTAATGAATATACCGTCCACATATATCAGTACTTGATTGAAAGACCGTCACGCATAACATAAATTTATATATTGCGTAGATTCTCAAAGATTTACTCAATATTCACGTCTGAAATGTTTAAATTTATACATTTGAAAACGACACTGTCGCTCCTTTCCTTCCTAGCATCGTGATCTACAGCTTCATAGCGCATGCGTATTTGCCCTGCTATAGAAAAAATCGGGTGTTCCGGGGGGAAAGTTCCTTTACACAACATGAGAAGCGAATGTTCTGAAATTACAAAAATTTACAATAGCGACAACGATTCCTCGAAATTTTTGTGAACTTGGCAAAAGGACAAAAGAATATTTAAAGAAAATAAACAAAATTGCTTCAATAACCTTCAAAGCACTGACTAAGTACAATAAATCACTGCGAACATAAATCGTATACACCCCCCGGAAAGTTTACTCTATGACTGACTGACTGACTGATTCGTGTGAATTCGCCAGCCATCACAACAGTGTGAAGTGAAACTTCACACTAAAAAGGAAAAAGTCAAGATAAATGCAGAACAAGTGTTTTTTCAACCTGTTTTCATGGCTCAAGTGGATCACCTGTGTTAAAGCTTTGTGAGCTGCCATTAAAGAAAAGCATGAAAAAAACCAACGCCTAAACAAAATGTCGCAGCCAAAACAAAAGAAGGAACAAGTGGTTCTCCAGTATTAGTTCTGCCCACACGAAAAAGAAAAGAGAAAGAAGCAGCTAGACACATTGTGATATTTATACCAGTAATAACGATGGTAATGCTTCAATGAAGAATTTTTCCTTGTTTTTTACGAGAGAAGATCGCAAAAGAACATGATCAGATGACAAATATTAACCCCTATACCCGTAGGATCTTGTTGTGTAATCATCACATATAATGCGCTTATCAAAAGTAAAACGAAATATTTTAACTTTTTCCTGAACATTTATAGTTTGACTATTACCCCTAGTAAATTCTGTATAATGCATACAAATTTCTTTCTTTTTGTTGTTTATACATTTAACCATATTTTCTAAATTTATTTTCCTTTTTGTATCTCCTTTTAAGGAAAACCCCTTTACATGTGTAATTTCGTCACACTGTTTTGTTTTTGTTCTGTCTTCATTAGTTCTTGTGTACTCATTTGTACAAAATGAATAAGATTTAGGGCCCGCGGAACAAAACTGTTCAATCCATTTTTCACTACAGTTTTTCTCCTCTAATTCATCTGTCATCTGCCCTAAATACTGTCCCTTTTTTAAAATATGACCCTTACTTAAATCCTCTACATATATCACAGAGTCGGTGTCAAAATATAAAACACTTTCACCTAGTTTATTAATCACCTCAAATAATTCTAATCTTGCATATTCTGTAACAAATGATGCAATTACAACATTTCTAGTTGGAAGCGGCACTAAAGATGCTCCTTTTCTGTGTGTAGTTCTAGCAATATCATTACTAATAAAATCCAACGATGTAACCTCAATGCTATTATCATTTACCATTTCTAATAAATCATCTAAACTATCAACAAATGACACAACACTAGGATCCTCGTTCTGTGCCAGTTTCCCCCATAAAGAATTTAATAATGCTTTCATAACAGTTCTTTGTCCTGGGTTGTAACATATCTTATCAGCATCCAATTGTATATTTTCATGCTCTAAATAATTTTTTATATACTCATCTAGATTTTCTTTTGTTATACAACCCTTGTCATCAAGACAATGCTTGGGTATCCCGCTGCTTTCCTGTTTAAGCTTCATAAATGTGTCAACATATGTATCAAATATTTTTTGCTTGCATGCATAATGATATATTTCATAAATAATTATTATTATATAACCATGTTCTATTGCTTTTTGTACCTCAACACTGGTCCATGTACCATATAATGCACGTTGTTCGTCATCATGCTGACAAAATTCGCTTAGTGTTTCAATACAACTTCTGCATAATGGGAATGTTAACTTATCTGTACGGTAGGGTAAAACCGGAAATAACAGGTTTTCTGATCCGGGGGTAAAATTTTACATTTAATAAGTCCAAAAATATTTTCAATTTTAACATCACGACAATTGTTTATACCCCTAATAATTTGCGGATGTTGTATGGGATATACATATTTTTTTTTGGACATAGGGATAAAGAGAGGTAAAGTCGGCGTAACGAACTTTTTTAACTTTTGATTTATACTGTAATACTGCAGGAGAAGTTCTCCCCCCAAACAAAGCGTCACGTGGGTTTAAATTTATATTAACAAAAAAATCATGCTGTCTCAAAGTTTTTTATAAAGTTTGAGTATTTTATTTTCACGCACAAAATCACATTCCCACATTTCTACAACTTTATAACCGTGTATAACCTTTATAAACGCGTTGCACGTCTTGTGCGTTCTCTAAGCATGTAAAAAGTTTCATTAATGACGCAATTGTAACTGT